CCCCAAAACCCCAAAACCCCAAAACCCCAAAACCCCTTAATTATCTTAAAAATTGAATAATGAATACTCAAATCCTTACCAGCTCTTTTAAAGTCTTAGTTAGTTTAAAAGGCTATGAAAAAGACAGCACAAGCAATAATAAGAAGAAGGAAAATCAAAATCATCAGCAGAAATTGTCTTGATAAGTCACGGAATCAGCATACTCTGAAAGCTCCATTAGGCTGCCTGATCAATATTCCTGGAATTATTGCTCTATTCTGCCCCATATTTTGATTATTCTGTTGATTTTGTTGTCTATCAGAAGGACTATCTCCTAACAATGGGGAATTCACTCCATGTTCTTCCTCTATTTGAAAATTCCTGGCTTCATCAATTTGTTGGCCATTTCTTTTAGCCTCTTCAAAACGGATATCTTCTTGCTCTTCAAACTTCTCTAATCGCTTTTTCTGTTTCTCATGAAGTAAGCTTTCAAGGTTTTCTGGGGTATGCTTATCAAAAATAGGATCTTGCATTGTCTCAAACTCATAATTAACACTAGAATCTGTAGTATTTCTCATTTCTTGATTCCTGCTCCCATCAGTAAAGTCAAATATTTTAACCTGGTTGCTCTGATCAATATGAATGGGCTGGACTAGCCATTTTGGAGGTTCTTGCCTGACAAAAGTTTCTCTATTATTCCTTTGACCTGAAAGAGAGTTATCTGCCATATAATTGTACTGGTTTTGAGTAGGGACTCGAGCTGGGGTCCCTTCATGACCAATATCATCAAAATTCTCACCAAATTTGTTCTCCTCCAAATCATCCCCATACCCCTCACGGAAGTTGATATTTCTTTCTAAATGTTGGCAGTACTCAATATCTTTTTGCTCTTGTAATTTCCGTTCTTCAAGGTTTATTTTCTCAGCCATTTCTTGAACTTCTTTGATTTCTTCAGAGATATAGCTTTCTTCATCCTCTTCCTCTTTGAAGCGCTCTGCTTGCTTCCTGCGGTACTCTTCTAATTGCTTTAATGCACTCATTTTGGCTAAATTTTCTATAATTATAAAGAAAAAAGGGGTTTTGGGGTTTTGGGGTTTTGGGGTTTTGGGGTTTTGGGG